CAGAGCTGCACATAGCTCTCAAGGTATTTTAATGCAAATCCTTACAAATTTTCACCTGCCCTCATGTCTCCAAGTTTCCCCTGCCAGCTGTGCAACCTTATGAAATACTAAATGTCTGAGTTTTATCGTCTGCAAGAAATAAACTATACAGGTTGGCTGCTTTAAACTCACTGATATTTGTCTGTAAAGAAGTTTCAGATACTCTGATGAAAAAACATGCAAAAGTTGACAAAGTATACAATATTACTATATATACAATTATTGTTATCTAAATTAATCTGTCATACTGACTCATTTTGAATAAACTCTGATGATAATTTGTTATATCAGGGTACTCTTTGTAACAGTTACATATAAAGTTATAACCTTATAACTTTAGGTTTGTCCTCAGTCTGAGGCAGGGAAGTTCCTAGTAGCTAGACTAAACAGCCTCAAACTGAGATTCTTAAATAGCCATAGTTAGGGAAAACAACTTAATCGATTTTTGTATGTTCTGCCTTTCACTCTCTTATTATCTTAACCATAATAAAGATAAATCCCTTGATGCATGGCTTTTTGACCAGCCACTGAAGCACGTGGGTTGATTCAGGATGTGAAGCAAGCCACATTCTCTCAAGGATTAATAGTGGATAGTTTGGTTACTTTTTTGCACTTCATTAGTAGATTGGTATTTGCTTTTCGAGAAATGGTTTTCATGAGAGTAGAGGCGTCAGCTCCAAGACTGTACGAGTAGTAGGTAGTTGGTATCTCTGAACAGAGAGATCTCCCCTGTCATGAATTTCATCACATTAGCGTCTACGGTCTTAAGCTCACCTAACACCTGAGCAAGTGGCAGTAGTGATCAAACATTCTCCCTCAGACAAAAGATTATGAGTGTTGATAATCTTTTTATTGCTAATTATAAGTATTTTTCAATAGTTAAAGAGAGTTAAAAACTCAGATGACTTGCACGAAGCACCTACCCTCTTTTTCTGTCAATTCAACTAGACAATAAATTAGGAAATAAAGTGAAGGTTTCAAGCATTATAAAAATTATTTCAGAGTGTCCTGTGAATCTTCCAGGTAACGATTTTGAGGGTTTATCTCTATTATACAAATCCAATTTTTGCAAACACACTCTTGCTAGCATTGCAGAAGATGTATTTCTGGAACAGATAATGAATAAGCAGCAGTTGTGAATGGGGAGATGTTTTAGTTATTTTCTGCATTATTTAAGGAATTTTCCTTATGATGTTGTGTTCTTTAATTAAAGAAAATAGAAGATAAAGGAAAACAGTGGTAGGCATCAGCATCCTCTTCATCATCTCACAGCTTTTGTAAAGAAATTAGAACATGCAATGTCTGATCCTGATATAATTTGAGTCAACTGCAAAATCTTGCTGCCTTAAAAATTGAAAAAAGAAGGATTGAGCCTTAGGTGAGCTGTGTGCTCAAAGGAGGCAGCCTTCTTTGATGCATGATTTAAATAGATGAACTAATTGATTTGAGGGGGTAGGAGACAAGTTAACTACAGTGGGCCAGTGAATCTTGTTGCTAAGACACTGAGGGAGTGAGAGCAGGCAGGGTGAAGATATGAGAGAAAGAGAAGGCAAGCCCTTGTAACAGAGGTGATGAGAATCCCAGCCAACATTTGCAGTGTTTATCCTATTTTTCATTTCTGATTTTACAGGCTAAACTAAAAGGTCGAGGACAGAAAGTGAAAATGCAGATGTTCAACTTGTTACTTTCCTTTGGTTTGAATGACCTAAAGAAAACCGCTTCACAAAGTGTTATAAAATATTTGGCAATTATTTTTCTCTCCATGTTTGAAAAAAGGACAGATAATACTGCATCTACATATTTCAAAGTACTTCAAAGTGGTCACAAAGTTTGATACTTATGGTGTGTTATATGGATTTAGGAATACTTTTAATTATGTAATACAGATATAGGGATGCTTTTAATGTTATGTAAACAATAGCTGAGGAATGATTCCTATGACTTTTCTTCCTTACCTGTGGGACAGAATCTTCCAGTCCACTCCTGCATTGCTGAAATTCAAATTACTTGTCTGTTTTGGCTGTTCTTGTTTTAGTTGAGAGAACAGAGTGTCTCTTTTAAGAAGGAGCCACATGGAGAAGGCAAGGGGCAACAGGTACAAGTTACGTCAGAAAGAGTTCTCATCTTGATGTAAGAAAGACATTTTTTACAGTGGAAACAGTCATTCCCTGTAACAATCTCCCCAGGGCTGTGGTAGAGTCCCTGTCACTGGAGGTTTTCCACATGCAATTGGACAGGGTGCTAGATAATGTTGTCTAGGCTTCCTTTCCCAAGAAAGGTTGGACCAGATGATCTATAGGGGTCCATTCCAACCTGGGCTATTCTGTGATTCTAATACTACACCCATCATATTGTGTTTGCGTGGCAAGGTTTTGGTAGCAGAGGGGCTGCAGGAGTGGCCTCTGTGAGAAGATGCCACAAGCTTCCACGTCAGGTGGAAGCCAGTGCCAGACGGTTCCAAGACAGACCCGCTGCTGGCCAAGGCCAAGACCATCAGCGACAGTGGTAGTGCCTCCGGGATAACATATTTAAGAAGGGGGGCGGGGGGGGAAACCTGTGTGACAGCAACTGCAGCCAGAGAAAAGAGTGAGGCCATGTGAGAGAAACAACTCTGCAGACACCAAGGTCGGCGAAGAAGG